TGCATTAGAATATACAACAAAAAGCAAGAGAAGAATCGATCAGAATTCTTGGCGATGGAAAGGATGTGTTACCTACCATAGAACAGATGCAGCAAATGGACTATATTAGTTTAGTCATAAAAGAGGTACGCGCATTTCTCGCCGTCAACTGTAGTTAAATGATTCTGTGCAGACACTGCGGATGCATTGCCCTCTGACGAGTGCGGTACCCCGTATAGCAACCGTTGACACTGTGCTTTCAGGGACTTTCATTCCAAAAGGCTCCGTCATCTACATTAGCCCGTACGACTTACATTACAATCCTGCACTATGGAAGAACCCAGATAAATTTGATCCAGACCGCTTTGAGTCGGATGATGAGACGGAACGGCAAAAGTGGAATACAGCTTGGGTTCCTTTTGGATTAGGTGGGAGGCAATGTGTAGGTATGAAGTTTACACTGGCTCAACAACAGGTCGTATTGTCTCTACTATGTAAGTTTTTTTCAAGAGAGCTTTGCAGCTTTTATTAACGCTGGCCATCGCTTAGTGAGAAAATACACATGGAAACTCCCGCAAGAATCGATACATCACGATAAACTCTTTACCAATAATGGAGTTGGTGTGCGTGCAATTAACTTGAGCATTGTATTTGAGGAGAGATATTGATATGATCCAACGTGACAATAGCAAGGTCCACACATGGCCAGCCGCCGGCAATACAATTCAGTCTCAATAGCATGTAGCCGTAATCCCACTTGGATGACCATAAATGCAGACACACCTGACTTGATTTCACGCTACAAGCTTAAGATATTTTTCTCTCGCAATAAATTAATGCTAAAAAGACAAAGCGATAAAAGATTTGCACCACGACAGTGCGTGAAACAGATTGATTGCGGATATGGTAATGGCAAGGTGTTTCTCAACGTCCGTCAGATTCAGTTGTATTGCTCTCTTTGCCAATGTGTTGTTCTATTTTACTGTAAGGAAGCTGTCATATTCAGAACTTTGCCGAACTGTATATCTAAGTAATAGAAGACAACAGGGCTGCCATGGACGCAAATACTATTCTTGTGATAGAATTGCTATTACAGCGGATCTTACATTGCGAAAGCTTCGTATTCAATTTCGTTTGCTTCATAAAAATGGATTGCACGATCTATGTGTACGATGGTAATTTGGTGGTTTCCATTCTTATTCTAAGTAAAAATTTACAAGAAGTTGCCCATATTAAAGCTTTGTTACTCCCTTATAGACAGCTTAATAGCTTCTTGAAAGAATAAGCTTATCTCAAGGTAAGAATTGGAAGCTTTCTGCATCAATAAGCGTTACTGCAAAGGGTCTTGGAGCATAGAGCTGTTACTGCAATTAGTCTGATATCAACCATCACGCGAGCCACCCCGTGTGCATAGCAGCATCTGAGACAGCGTCTTAAGGGTATATTAGAATCGTATGGACACACTACACTTAGTATCCATTTCATATAAACATATAATAGTCTGCCTCGTTCATGACTGTAAACGAAGCAGGAGGCAGGTTTTGCTACAAAAGAAGAAAGATCGTTCCCCTAACAAAGGTTAAAGTTTTCATTGCCTGCGGCAATTGAAAGCTTAAACGCCCTTGTGTGCTCGGTTCCATGCAAGAAAGGAAATACCTCGTATAGCTCGGATGTCATTCCGAGTGAATGTGGCGCAACACGTCGGTGTTCTCCCATATTCTGGCAAGTGAGAGAGCATCTATTTTGCCCTTGTTCTATTGAATTCCGGGAAGGAAGTACCACAGTTCGCACCACTATGTGTTACATCGGCTTCGATTACGGGTGGCATAGCTCACCTTTACATCGAATCACATGCTTTGTTGGAGTTACATCTATGCAACGACGGTAGTAGCAGTCTTGTCCCGGAATACTTTAAAATGTCGAGGGTTTTTGATATCATTTTTCTTCGTCTACTTTCTCTCTATTAGCTATGTTGACAGATCACTTTGCTGAATTGTCCGAAGCGATTCTACAGGATAACACCAAACGTGTCTCCATAGGAGCAGCTGTAGTTTTGGTTGCGCTTTATTTCGTATATGACAAGATCTCTCGTCCGCCTAAGCATTTACGACATATTCCATATATCAACAAATTCAGTTTCTTCAGTAGCTTGCTATTCAAGAAGCAATCCATCGCGAGTTTCAACAATGACTACGTCGAACCACTACTGCGAAACAAGAACTTGCCCCAAATGCAACTGGTACAAAATAAATAGATAACAAAGGCGCATCAATGGTCATAACAAAAAGTTCTTTTTCCCATAGCGCCCAGGTCGTGCAGGATGGGAACTTTTCCTGCTAAACCCAAACCCTGCTCGAAAGATATTATACGAGCTAGGTAAAACAACTTGGAAGTGACTCTAGGATTATCTTATACCGATGTTTTTGCTAGACGTCTGGCAAAAAACTACGATTGAGGCGGGAAGAGAAGGCACAGTAAATATTGACCAAGTTGGTGGTCCAAACATCTTGCTATATGATGGCGCTGTATGGGAACAGCATCGTCGCGTACGTCTCCGCCGCTGTTTCTTTCTTTGCGTTTTGCTTCTTATTAACTTTCACTTTTAGTTGGTAAAACCTGCGTTTGCGCAATGCAAGCCTGGGAATCACTTTGGTCGTTCTTTTTTGAAGTTGTTTGAAATTATTGACAAAGCTGGAGAAAAGGTTGACGTCGTTAATCTTTTGGATCGAACTGTACTTGATGCAGAAGGGCATGCTTTCATGGGTAAGCTGAATCCCGAAACATGCTTATCTGATACCTCATTCATAGACTTTGATTTTAATGCTCTGGATAACCCGGATGGCACATGGTTCCGAATCTATGCTAATATTCGTGCAGGCATGCATGACGCCTTCTTTTATCTGCTCCCATTCCTAGATCAAAAAATGCTATGGTTGTTCCCAAAAAGAAAGCAAGTACATAAGGATATTGCTCAGTATGCTGCAATGATGGTCGACCTTATCGACACGAAACGCTTGGCGCTTAAAGAAAAGAAGGGCACGCAAACAGCCGACAGCGAAAAGAGTTTACTTACGTTGATGCTGGAGGCTGAGATGAAAGGAGAAGGGCATCTTTCCACAAGTGAGATTAAGGTAACTATCAAATTGAGTTGATTGGTTGTCGCGCGTCTGATAGAAGGTTTACAGAGCGATATCAATATCTTTTTCATTGCTGGCCACGACACGACAACAAACTCCATCGCTGCCGCACTCTATTCGATGGCTGTCCATCAGGTACATATACATCCGACCCAAGCAAAACGAATTGACTTTACAGCATAGGATGTGCAAGAAAAAGCCAGAGAAGAGGTGCTTCGGATATTTGGTAACGATCCGGTAGACGCAATACCACAGGAAGAGCAACTTAACCAGCTGAACTATCTTAACCTTGTGATTAAGGAGGTAATAGTGTTTTTTATGCCGTATGAACGTTATATTTGCTGATACCGTACTCAGTCACTTCGATTGTATGGACCAGTTACGGAGATCCTTCCGCGTGTTGCTAAGGTTGACACCGAGTTGGACGGTGTCCTCATACCAAAGGGTACACCCGTTGGTATGAGTATTTACGGTATCCATCATAGCGACCGTGTATGGAAAGACAGCAAAGAATTCCGCTGCGATAGATATCTGCCTGGCGGTGAAGCAGAAAGCATGTCAGTGAATGGCTGGTTGCCTCTCAGTGAAGGAGAACATTATTGTGTAGGCAAAAATTTCAACCTGACGGCACAGCACGTGGCTTTGTCGATGTTCTGTAAGTACTTTTCGTTCTCCAAGTTTTCGATATAGCTTACCTGTTGTATCAGTGAGAAGATATACTTGGGATCTTCCCGGAAACTCCATCCACAAGCATGGGCTGGTCACTAATAACGGCCCTGTCGTGACCGCACAAAACCTTCAGATAAACTTCAGGAGAAGACAGTAACAAAAATATTGTATAGCTTATTGCGTTGTAAATGTGGAAAACTCCTATTATAAAGTACTTTCACGGCACGATTATGTCTTAATTTATTTTTTGAACCCTGTTATGTCGAGGCTAAGTCTGACTAATCTTATTCCTTTGCTACACGATGACAAGTTGCTTCCTACGGTTAATAGGATTTATAAACTTTTACTATAGTTTCGTCTGCTCTGTCGTTTTCTTGTTCGCATGGAGATACCTGCGAGTGTAGAAGACTTGAGCTTCGACCTTCTCTGTATTCGTACGTATGCTACAGCTCTCTGTCTCTACTGATTAAGGATACTTTGGCTAGAATATAACACTGAAAAAAAAGCGGAGCCTAATACGCTCTAAAAGTACCTTTAACTTTAAATATCGTACTCACTTTAGTGACACACCGTACCACAGAATCAGCCCTCGCCTTCACATTGTCCAGACCGAATATGGAACATTAGTACCACTACATTACATGAACAGTAGATATAATGATATGATCGAAAAAAAAAGTATTAAGTTAAGAAGATTCATAGTTACGCGACATGGATCGCTGTATATAGCTTCCGAGTGAGGGTATTCATATAAGCAAAGCAAGTGAACATTGTCTTTTGATAAAAGTTTATGAGTGCGCTTCAGTCGATGATGGTCTAGACAGCAAAACATAGAACCAGAAGAATTTTAAACACGGCAAATGCAAAAAAGAACCTATCTTATGTTTTGCCCCATTAATTCTTGATATCTTGTCTCCACACGCTATTCCAATCAATGTCCACAATTACTAATTGAGATAACCTGAAAACGTTTGATGTGATCACCAATTGATGGCAAAACTCGTAGTCCGTAATCTCATATAAGATGCAATGGACCAATAGTTTGGAGCACTAGCATAATACAAGTCAAGTACTTATATCTTTTTCTCTATTTCAGGTTGCATAAACGGACTGAATACAATTGTAAAATAAAAAGATGGGCACGGAAACGCAAAATGCCCTCGTCTGTTCTCAAATATGATTGGTCGAGCCAAAAATTTCCGACTGCAAGTAAAATGCAGACTGAGAGATTCGAACTCTCGCCACTTTCGTGAGTACGACCTGAACGTACCGCCTTAGACCACTCGGCCAAATCTGCTGCAATTTTTTGCAGTAAAATTTGAATTCTTAAAGTGAAAATTCAAGAGCATGGCTTAACAAGATTTCCTCTACAAAAATTGAGGACTGTAACTGAACTAATCAAAACCAAGGCAGAACAGAACTTAAAAAAACGAAGCTATTTTTTTCTTGACATTAATTCTTAAAATTCTAAATTAAAAGCATTAACTAGTTTATAAACTGATAGTCTCTTTAGTTGCATTTATATTGAAGTAAATAGGCTTCGGCAAAAGAACTAAAGAACTAGAACTGAACCAGAACTAAACTGGAACCGAAATTGTTTCTTTATAAAGGAACTGAAGAACCGAAGCTATTTTTCCTTGGAACTAATTATTAGAATTCCTAAATTACATTTAGTTAATTCAAACAAAAAACGTAATCGAGATTCTAAAAGCATTAACTAGTTCATAACATGTCAGTCTACTTCATTGCGTTTGTATAGAAATGAAAGCGACAATGCTGAAAAGTAGCATTTAAATGGTGTTGACATTGCTAGAACAGCTACCTGATTTACAAAGATCCCTACAGAAATTGGGAATGACGAAATGCTACTCATTTCATCATCAGAATCAATCAGTAAAGCACGTTTCAAGTTCATCTTAGTTACAGATGAGTGAAAATGTTAAGCTAATTTTGAAATAAAACCAGTTTTCAGACTATAATGACCATACTTCCTACAGGAAACGCTCTCTTTTTACCATAACCTTCTATGAGGTTTTATACTCCTTTATTTGCCGATAAAACGGTTCTCTATATAGTCTCCTATTTTCCTTTTTGGTTTGATTAGGCTCTCTTTGGTTCTGTTCGGTTCCAGCAAAGAAGTGAGAACAACCGAACCGTGCAAAGCCCTAGTATCAACCTCGACTCTGAAACCGTAGCCCTATTATCTTCCACTACAATCTTAATCTCGTAACCAATAACGAGTGACCACATTGAGTTGAAAGTGTCATATCGTATTATTAAGGTAAACAGGCATCTTTTCACTCAAGGCGCACGAAACTTGTGCAGTAAATGGCTGGTTCTGCACATCAAGTCATTTCAATAAAGCAGGCCACACATCCTGGTATATAATCTTGATTGGCGGAGGCAGAGTCATCGAATGTACAGCATTGTTAAGCTTTCTAAAGAATTTACAATGCTGGTTAGCTGTTTTGGTTCTGTCATATATTTGAACTATATTAGCTATAATTGTTTGATTGTCGTTTATTTTAGTAGGATCTATCCGACCAAGGGAATTGCTGAAAAGAATCTAACTTATGAATAAAGTCGGCAGCCTTTGTTCACCAATATGGAGACATCGTCTATGAACAGAACATATTCGCGCTGCATCAACGGATGTAGAAACGGAGAGGAAGCAAAATAAACTGTCGAGGTCAGTGTTAAACATAGTCTTTTGAACGATACAAAAAAGATCGAAGAAAATATGCCGTTCTTTCACCGCCATCAAATCTGTTATAAATAGCTTCAACAAAGAATAGATTATCTTCATTAGGGTATCCAGTATACACGCGCAGCAGTTCGAATCTTCTTGAATTGTAATATAATAGAACCACACAACTGTCATGAATGAACTCCCGTTAATGGCGTGAAGGGCATATCTCTCAATTGCTGTGCATGCAACAAAAAAGAGGTGTATAATTGCAAAACGCTTGTTTGTCTTTTGACAAAATGCAAGCTAATTTGACATAAAGATAGCACATGAGAAAACATAGATATAACGGGATTATATACTTTTTTTTCGTTTTTTTTTCTATTTTAGTTAAGCCGCTTAAAAGCCGGCTTTTTCAAAGGTTTAAACAAGCCGACTTGACGGATGGGACGAGCCGGCTGATAACGCCCAAAGGATGCTATATGAACAGAATCTCGCAAGTTGGTGTGAGATATCTCCTCAGAAATCTCTGATATTTCACGATTCGCCGCGCTCCATAGCAGGAAATCCGGACCATCTTGTACCTGTACGTATATTTGTTAGGCATACAAAACTAATAGGATTTCACGAGTTATTGTGTGTGTCTACCTCGCACTCGGATCTTGCTTCTTCAAGTTCCAACATAGGATCAACACAATCGTCACAGGCCACTTTATGTTCCATAATCTCCCGAGTAGTTCCCGATCCTGAATATTCGTTCGACCATGGCATATACTCCTGATCAAGTCGATACCGCTTAGTTCGACTGATCGCAGAGGTACTTCCGATGAAGCGTTTACTTAAAAGAGAACCTCGAAGCATAAGCATTTTCGACGACTGCATCTTTGTACAAAAGTGCCGATATTTTTTTGGCTTTGTTTGAAAGCAAAAAGTATATTCGTTCCGCACCGGCTTTTATAATCTGTTTTATTTAATGTCTTTCTTGAAAGACTGAAACATATGTCCAACTGCCACAAGGAACAGTTGCATGAAGTCTCACCTTCTGGTGTGGGATATTTTATCAGCCAATAAGAGAGCCTCAACATCATGCGAGATGGAACCCAATGTCCGCAATTACCACAGCGTCCATATTTCGTTGGCCCATGAGCTACCGAGTCATAGTTCATCTGTGTAGTCTATGTCTCAGCTTCAAGTTATCATGGCTAACTAATCTATAAAAACGCCCGATCATGTACCTAAATAATAAGGCCGCGACGAAGCCCACAATCAGGAATATAGTACCCTTCATTATATGTGATATACTTTGCGGCGCGTATCGGGTGCTAAAGCCATGCTACACCAAACGCATAGTGGAAGTAACCGAAAAACCACGTCGTGCTTCATAATCTGGTTTAGCTCTAATGAAAAAGCGAATGAAGTTTCAGGTTTCTCTTAGTTGGTTAGAAGCGATAGGACCCTTATATGGATATGTTTCAGAGCGTTATAAATTATTGCCCAGGACATCGTTTATCAACGCGGCAGGCAGCCTTTGAAATCAAAGGCTGATTCAATATCTTTCTATCTTTTTGAGAAAGGTATTCAATGCTTATATCTCGAAACCAAGGTGAGTGTTACGGCTATGATCCGAAATGGTCTGGTAGAAGATCACTAGCTATGTCCCATATTAAAAGAACCGGAAAGAAATGGAATAAAGAACTAGCAAATCAGGCAATTATTGAGCTAGATGAGTGATGTTTAAGAATAGGTGGGGCAGATGCAAACTTCTATTGTTATTAGACAACGGCAATTTCATCCTCCTGTTTGACAATAAGTTTTCATTTTCTTCTCCTGGATTATTGATCCTTAAACACGGTTTACCACGTCTCTGTTTAGCATCTTTAACCCTCGCAAAATCTGCACACACAACTGGTTCTCTCAACCGATTTTGAGTGTCTGTATACCCAATCAATAATCTAGTTCGATGGAAAACAAACCACTCCTTCTGATCTCCCCATTACGACCAAGAAGACATACTCATTTGTGATAATGTTCTTTACTTTCCTCTCTGTAATCTAGCTTTCGATGGAATAGCAAACTCTCTCGAACTCAATGAAAACCCCTTTTGATTGGTGATGCTACCCGCGATCCATAGCATAATGAGTGATCCGTTTGTACAGTTGCCGTCCATAAATGGTAAAACACGTTCAACGTTTATTGAGTCATTAAGCCCCCCTTTTTTTTACTTTATCGGAAGATGTCTGTGTTGCTGTAGCTTGATCTATCTCTTAGTGCGTCGTTATGCGTCTTGTATTCCATGATGGTATCTGCGGGTAAACCAAGATTCTTCTTGATCGTGTCCCTAGACCAAACGTATCAGTATTAACGAACTAAAATCTTTCCATTCTCTTACCTAATCTTCAAATTTATCCTCCCGTTAGCAGCAGTTCTGTTCCATACTGAGATAATGTCCTCGGAAGCACGAATGGAAAGCACAGCACCACAGATCTCATCGTGCACATCGAACTGGTCACCAATAATTGCCAGAACCTTAAATAACCAACAACGTAAGAAGCAGTTCCGAAGCAAATAAACCCAAAACGCCATGGAAAAAGAATGAGGGGAAAAAAAAACTTACCAAAGATTCCCAGTACCGACTTGCCAATCCCTTCTTCAACCGGACAATCCACTTACCACCTTGCATATTTGCCTCATCCTTTTGTCATCGTTTATGTATGTATTAGCATTTGTTATAATGAACAGCAGCTGATCTTGTTTAACTTGCCTCCCACACAGGTCTTACACCTTGCTTGAACAGATGATAATCGCTGATATATGGTAAATCATTCGGGCGACGTAAGTGACTAAAGACAGCCCAAAACTCTTCTATCTGAAAAGCATAGGATGAGTTGGCCGTCCGGGGAATTAGGAACCAACTTAATATTTCCTACCGAGGTGAACGATGCGATTCGCTTCATGCTGCCTTCATAATCTTTGATTTTCTCTTTTGGAGATCGATGCATAAACCAGAAGACCCAAGCATAATGAAGAGGATGATGTGTGATAGGTTGTGTTTCTTCCGAAGTTGTGGTAGCTGATTGATGTAAAGAAAGCGATGCATGCGTTGTTGTGATGGAGCTGGTCATATTAGATTGGTAGTTTGAATGACAGCTAAAGGATTCCTAATGTCAGTGCCGAGATAATCTTCAAGGAAGGTTCTACAAGACCGCCTCCCTTTCTTTTTCGACATGGAACTTACGTTAAACGATGTGGCAAGACTTTGCTGGGTACGTACTTTTTGAAGAAATCAAAATGTTTTCCTGCTGAGATTGAAAAAGCTTGACGCTTGTGAGAAAAGCAGTGATCTGAGTCGAGATCACCCAGCCAATCGTACTGAAAGGTCCACGAAATCTTGTGTCCTTTTGTCTTCGCTAACAGTGCTCATATGGTAATTAATGAGACACGTGGACTTCCGTTTTTGACAGAATAAGGGAGGCGTAACTCCTAGGGTGACTTGGCACAGCTAAAAAAGTGGGTGAGCAACCTTTTTTTTTTTCCCTCTATGGATAATACGGTAATCAAGGCAATGTCACTCCGAAACAGGTGAGGGTGGAAAGGACTAAAAGTGGCCCTTG